AATACAATTGATAACCTTTGTAGCTCATATGTCAAATATCTTTAATGATTATATACCAGAAAAATAAAGCTTAACTTCTTCCCTAAAGAAAAAAAGCGTTTCATATTTAGAATGATCCCTCTTGGGAAGACAGTAAAAAAAAGTAGGTTTTCAGATCCGAAGTTATATTTAGCAGAATCTGTGCCAGTTTATTTTACTTTATTGCAGGACGAAATAGCTTCTATGTATATTACTAGACATACGGTATCAAAATGTAAATACCAGAAAGTGAAAATGGTTCCTGATATCAATTTTTCATATTTTAGATACAGTAGAAAATGCTTTATTGCATTTTAATTAGATTTACAGCAAAACACCAAAACACTTATAACTATTGCAAATTAGTATGTTAATTTAAAAATGTCATACAAATTCAATGAAAATTGATGGTGATGTACTGTAAAGTAGAGCTTTAGGATCTCTCAGATTAGATCACACAGAAAATCAGAGAGATTAACTAATAGTGTTTGGTTAGCAGCCATAGAATGAAACATTTACATGCATCCCGAATAGAAACACTCTCCTTTCCAGATCACTTGTGAGCAGATCTTTACAAATTTCTTCGCTTTCAACACATTGAATTATTCAAGCCTGCCACTGAATTCATGTTTGTCTAAATGATTGCACTCCCTATCACGCAGAGCTGTGATTGTGCTGCGTTATGTTTGGTTCTCATGAATTATGGATGCTAATTGCAATGCAGGTCAACAGAGATGAAAACTTTTCGAAGACTTTTGTTAAGATTATTTTTATCTATCCAAAGCCCTTAAACATAACAAGGAGGCAGTACATCTTCCTATTTCTTTAATTTGAAATAATTCAGAGAAATCTTTAACCGTTTTTTTGGGGCTTGCTGGAAACTTGATAGGGCTCAAATAGTCTTTCACATTGAAATGGACACCGATTGTTGCTTTTAAATGTTTCACCTCCACTTGAATCACTTCTAAAGAACCAACGCTCTTTTAGGACTTCCTAATGGGACCTAGAGATAACTATTTTAAAGCACAGGACGAGGGAAAAGATAAGAAAATACATTTTTCTTTTCCAGTACGAAAAGGGATGAACTTGGTGATTTGTCTTCCTTTTAATATGTAGATAACATACTCACTTTCACACTCCCTGTGTGCATTCTCACACATTCAGAGCTGCAGTGACCCATTCAATAGATGTGCAAACATATGCAGATTACACAGCCTCACACACACACACAAACACACACACACACACACACACACGAGCACACAAAAGGGCTCAAGATCAAGAGCTCGCAAAGTCTTGCAGCAGTCGGACACCACATCTTTGACAACACAAAAAGGTTGTGCAAGGTAATTGTGTGTGTGTGTGAGTGTGTGTGTTCACACATGAAAAACAGCTAATATAAATGTGCTTGTATTACGCTGAGCTCGTTTGGGGGAATGTGATGATGGACAAAAAGCTATCGCTGCTCGTCAGATTCAACCTCTTAATTGGATGATTGTTGTGAGGGAGTATTGAAGCTCCTGGGTAAGTGCGTGTTTGTGAATTCAATAGCCAATTGAGCTACACGTCCCCAAAAAAAGGCCAGCATTTATGTTTAAGTCAGCTGCTTGTGTAGCACTCAGTTGTGTGTACCTTGTTTGTGCGTATAAGCCAAAGGGTTATCAACAATGAAAAGAAGTCGTTGCTGGCGGGGCTCGACGGGTTTTTGTTGTCAATAACGTCACAGACTGTTATTTGGCATTCTGATCATTTCATTTTGAAGGCAGTTTGGGGGGGGGGGGGGGGGGTGCAGAATGTGAGATCAATGTTACAGCTTCAGTCAGGTTTTTGTGTGGCCAAACAGCTTGTGCGATTTTGAAGCATCAAGAGGAATCAATGGCCGCCGTTCTCCAGTTGATAAGTGTAAACAATGTGGTAATGGCTATTTGTGGTAATTGCTGCTGTACTGAGAAGTCTTTTGAGATTCCCAATCAATGCAGAGTTGAAGTGAGTTGGATGTTGAATGAGATTTTCATACTTCAGTGCACTTTAGAGCAATCATAAAGAGCTGCCTTTAAAGTGAGGCCGCCAATAACGAAGTGGTGTGAACTTTTTTAGTGCATTATCATCAAAGAACTTTTACCAAGTTGATTTGTACAGCCTTTAGAAAAGTATAAAGTTTTCTTCTTTGGTTTTTATACATGTTGATCAAAGCACAAAAGATGTTTCATTAAAGAATTTAGCAAACGTAAAGGTACTGTTAAGTCATTTTTTTGCGTCACTATCGTCATTATCACTGTCCTCTGTTAACCCTGTGATGTAAATAGTGAAAACTCTCTCAGTCATGTCAATTCTGCAACCTTCTTTCTTGCATCACTGAAAAACTCAATTTACTTCCAAGATAATCCTCTTGACAGAGAGCTCAGCTTTGTTTACGATGCAGCAGCCCGTGTTTTTTTCCCTGAATACTAAAGAAATCCCACAGCGGCTTATGAATATTCATGTGTATTCGTAGGTGGACCGCACAGAGGTGATCCGCAGCAGCAGCGGTCCGGTTTTCTCTAAGATCTTCTTGGTGGATTACTACTTTGAGGAGGTCCAAAGGCTCCGATTCGAGCTGCACGACATCAGCTCGGGTAACAACGGCCTCCGTGATGCTGACTTCCTCGGAGCCATGGAATGTACATTGGGGCAGGTCAGAGCACCCTCTTATTGGTTAGTAAATTAGGACCATGACTGAAACTATAAACTTTAACGAAATAAAGAATTGGTGTGATGCGTACAAACACATGAACAAATTTAACACGGTTTTTAGAAAAAAGACTTTTACTGCAGTCATCCTAGTTTGTACATTCATAGATGTGGTCAAGCTGCTTTCTATCTGGCTCAATAAAACTAACTCAGTGTGGATGGTTATGTAAGGTAACTGACCACACAAGTTAAGTGGTTCGTGTGAAAGATGTTTTGGGGGGTGCAACTCTAAATGTTACGATGAGCTCAGCAGAAAACAAAAACAGTGCATGTGCTGACAGCATACATCCACAGACGAAAGCATGAAATGAGAGCAGCTGGATGCATCAGTGCGAATATTTGTAATGAGCAAATTTGGATTCACTAGTTGTTTTTTCTTGTGTAGAGCACGCAATGCTACCTCAGAGCAATCTGAATTGGACGTGTAAAAATGCCTAAATTTACGATATGTTAGAGTTATGTATTTCCCAGTCAGTTTTAACTGGATATTTACACTTGTGGTCAGCCATGCGGACAGTCTTTGTTGGCCCTTTCAATGCCCTTGAGTTTATGTTTGCATAAAGTCTTATGGCTGCTTCAAAGTGTTAACAGTGCATTAATATGTGCATAGTCTGATATGTAGACCCTCCACTAAAAGTTTGCTGACACTTGCAATAGCTTCACTCAAGTCGTTAAATATTTTCTTTTATTCTCTTCCATCACTTAATATCTAGGAGCTTTTAAAATGAAAATTATTTCTGCTTTAGTGCTCATTGCTGATTAGGCTGGCTGATTTCAGGGACTGACTATCTGATTAGTAGGGAATCTTTAAATCAAGAACGGCAAGCTGCTGCATTTTGATCTAGTCTTTTGTTCAGGGGAGTGGTATTTACTTTTATTTCTTATTGCCAGAGATCCTGTCAGAAGCTTTAAGCTGGTGGATTTCCGATAGTTGGAAGAAGTGAGATAATGGCCATCGAGGAGGATTTTGAGGACACTAGGGGTGCAGCAAGATGCGGTAGCAGGATGCCAATATTAACTCTTCGTGTGTACAGCAATGTCCTGCTGCTAATCCAAGGAATCCATGTGAAGAACATAATAGCTGAGATTACACATGTAAACACCAACATGTGTGTATTAGGATTTTAGTAAGTGATAGCAATTGATTTATAAAGAGTAAAGAGTATTTCTTGCTTTATGAATATGGAAGATCAGCTAAGCAAGCATTATTTCTCTATTTGGAACACATTCTGACACAGTGGGGACAACACTCCACGTACCTTATTATCTAATCTGTTCCTTTTACTGTATCAGTTTTGGCACAAGAAGCTTACGTTTAGATTTTATTTTAGAAGTAGCCTTTTTTTACGTGAGACTACAGTTTCAATGCTTACATTACAGGTTATCAGCAAACGTATTCTCTTGAAATACATCAGTTATGAAAACATTCATTTTCACCTTTTAAACCAACTCAAAAGCAATTACAATTCAGCTTGCTGTGGATTGATGATTGTTCAGAGTACAAAGCATATATTCAAATCCAAGTGAAGGTGTCATTTGATGTTTCTTGATATGATTACTTTTTATCTGCTGGATGTGTACGAATATATAGCTAATATAGAGTTAAAAACCAAAGTAACACCATGGTTGGCTCACCCCCTAAAGAGTGTTTTTATTTGTTTCAGATCGTCTCACAAAGGAAACTGACCAAAGCTCTACTCAAGCAGGGAAACACTGCTGGAAAGTCTTCCATAATGGTATAAACACTGCTTCCACTATCAGCCCGTCTTAGTTGCACACATCCACATTCACGAATCCCATCGACACACACCAACCTCATGCACCCAGACATTCGGAAGATAATTAATTTGATGATGTTGCCGGTTCGGTCTGTTCTGTACCTCATTTCCATCTCATTTTCTCTCACCTCCTTCCTCTGCTCTTTTCCCCCCTCCCTGCCCTGCATAGGTGACAGCAGAGGAGTTGTCTGGTAATGACGATTATGTTGAACTCTCTTTCAGCGCTCGGAAGCTAGACGACAAGGTTTGGGCCATTTTACTTGTGTTAGAAATGTGAGAAATTAACAGAAAGCATCAGAAGCTTTTGATATGTGGGCGCCCCTGCTTACTATAACCCCCTTTTATCTTGACAACCCCACCACACAGAGATAACTATATTAATTCTTAGCGCACAAACACACGTACACACACACACACACACATATGTATGTCCATGGATGACTGATCCAAACAAGTTGCGCCCAAGGGGACTGATAAAAGACAGCAGGGAGGGGTGGATAAATTAGAGAGGACAGGCAAGGGACAGGTAGAAACAAAAGAGAAAATAGAAGGTATAGAGAGGACACATAACAGTCTTCTTACTTTATGCATAATTTATGGTATACATGAAGTACTTCTGAGAGAATATTCCAGAGGCTTATTTTTTTTCTTTTGCAGGATTTTTTCAGTAAGTCGGACCCTTTCCTGGAGATTTTTAGATTAAATGATGATGGAACGGAGTCGCTCGTGCACAGAACCGAGGTAAACGCAGCGTATCCATACACAGGCATACAATGCATTCCAAGGCAGATGTTTAAGACCTGTGATAAACACTAACTGTTGCTCTTATGTTTCTTAAACAGACGGTCATGAACAACTTGAGCCCAATATGGAAATCCTTCAAAGTCTCCCTGAACACACTCTGCAGTGGAGACCATGACAGGGAGCTTAAGGTGAGTTCCCTGCTGCAATTGTTTAAACTGATGAAAAATAATGGCACAAACAATCTATTAAGTCTTAAATACAATGTTCAGAACGGCCAAACCCGAGCAAGTATATAGTGGCACGCAAGAGTTTGCAAAACCTTTGAATTAGATCTTTATTGCTAAGTCAACTGATGGAAATCTTTGGGCTTTTTATAGGCATCCTAATGCCTTAACACTCAGCAACTGGGTGATCCTTTAAGCTGCTGTCTGACACTCTAAATGAAAATAATCAATTATCATTGATCTGGTAAATGTTGATACCAAAGACAAACACAAGCACTATTTTCCTCTTTCTATAAGGTGATTAAGAAATATGAGTCGGCATAAAAGCAGCATAATTAGCATGTTCACCACCTGACTTACCAAAGTAACTCATGTGAACAGATAACAGTGTAACATTAATAAAGGGAAGAGTGCAGACTATTAAAAATATGGCCAGTAAAACAGGAATAAATTGCTCAACCCTTCAAAATTCATAATGGAAAGTCATGTAGTAGTAGTTTTCCATGGTCCTCACTCTTATGCAATCTAAGCATTAGCTCAGAGAACTGTAAGGAAGAAAGGGAAGAAATATAATAACAATATTTCAACACTGTATATTACAATGACCTCGGTCAAGTCTGCACCAACAAATTGCTTTTTTTCATCTTGATACATGTTGCAAATCTTATTTGCCTGCTTCTGCAGTTATTTGTCTGCCTACATTTTTAAAAACTGGTTCTAAAGGAAAATCATAGCAAAAGAACTTTCTTGCCATTGCAAAAACTCTCCTATACTTCTGATATATAGAAAAAATATTTTCTATATTCAAGATGGCCCGGGAATCTCTCAGAACTTCCTTCTTTGAAGGAAAAAAATTCACAAAACAAGAACTGACAGTGTTTACTTGATGTCAGATATGTCCAGGCAGCTTCCCACAAAAGCGCTGACGGAGAAAAAGAAAAACTCAATTCTATCTGGGGCAGGTATTTACTGTAAAATACCATTTTAACAATGGGTCCCAGAGGCTATGCATGCCGGTGCATCCACAGGCATAATACGAGTCAAATTATGGGAGTTCATCACAACCGAGCCTCAGTCAGCTTTTTCCAACTTCTTTTCAGAGGCCACTAGTTAAGTTCGGGTCATGTTGTTTCCTGACGCATCACAATGTTTAAAAAGCTGTGTGGTCATCTTAAATTCCTTTTGCTAAAGTGCATCTAAGCGCGGGCACATTTGTGTGTGCGCGGGCTACGCATCAGCTGTGAACAGTTATATCTCCTCATGAATAAACATGAGCCCGCTTATTAAATATTCAGAGGCTTCTTAACTCGGCATGGCTCCTGACAGCAGGAGAAAGGGCTCGCACACTCACCGACACACACGCGCACGCCATCGGCTACGGTTTCTAGGGCTACCTGTTTGAAGCATCAGGGCCGTAGTGAGAAATGGCAGGGCAGAGATTTCTATTCAGACCAGTGCTTTCTTTTCACAGGGGTCTTAACTGACCAATGCATAAATGTATAACCCACTTCTGCAGTGTCTGGCTGCCTCCCTCTTTGTACTTCTCCTTAGCCATCTCTCCACCTCTCTACTATCCCTCTCTCTTCCTATCCCCGCTCGCCTCCCGCTTTTTCCGTCAGTTAGTATTCAGTGAATGGAACAGAGCTTCTTCATTTTTTCATTAGTCTCTAGCACACCTCTCAGCAGGCTGAAGTGGAAGCAAGGTTGCAAAAAAAAAAATCAAGCACTTGCCGCCTCGTACGCAGAAATTACTGTCAAAAACACAAATGATTGGACACACGCAAACAAAAGAAGGACACACACACACACACACACTTCAGGTTCAGGCTCTCAGCAGCTTAAGTGGCGGAAAGGAAATAAGGGGATTACTGCAAGTCTTTGTTTTTAATCAAACATTGTTGGATAAGTTCTGATAGCTATTTGCTGGTTTGACCGCAGGCTAGAGGGTCACAAAGCTTTACAGTGAATTTGCAGCCATTGAACAAGAATGTGCAGGTTTTTCTGTATATCTGCATACATTTTATGGTTTGCGTCTCATTATATTCCGAACGCTTTGGGAGAAACATAACTTTGCTTCTTTTGTCAGTTTCCGAAATGATCAGGCTGCTACTTTATGAATCAAGCTTTTTCCTGCTGACCCTCACTTGATTGTAGTCATTCATCACCGTGCGCAGCTTCTTTGAGAGAAAACAAACTATTACATCTAAATACTGACACAAATAAACCTGTCTCCTAAGCTGCGTTGCTCTCAGCATCCTAAGATTAATATTTCACCGCTCCATTGCCCCCCCACTAACACCACCCTATCAATCATTCAGCATGGCATTTCTCGGCGTGTCTGCGAGTGTATGTGTGCGCATTATGAAACTGTGTTGGAGCATTATCAGGATTTTGCGTATGTGCTTGTTTCTGTGCCAGTGCACCGTCTGGGACTGGGACTCCAACGGAAAACATGACTTCATAGGGGAGTTTCAAACCACATATAAGGACATGATGAGGGCAGAGCAGGAGGGCAAGCAGGTAAGAAAACGCACACTCAAATCGAGGCCCTCCATCTCTATGTTCTACACGTATAATTAGATGTAAGCCTTTCACTATGATCCATCCTTGCTACTATTACATGTTATGAGGGTGTGTGTTTTTCCAGATCCAATGGGAATGCATCAACCCTAAATATCAGGTGAAGAAGAAAAATTACAGAAACTCTGGGACTGTCATTCTCAATCAATGCAAGGTGATGTAACACACTGTCATCCGTGTAGCGTCTGCTGTTTTTCTGTGTATTAACCCTTCATATCTGTAGATATCTTATATAAAGATTGATCCATTTTCCCTTTAAATATTTTCTCAATAGATCATTTAATCTCCAAACTGTTAGCTTATAGTAATAAATTCACATAAATTTAACTGAGCTTAGGGATTGGTCCTATTTTTATCCAAACAATGTTCACATTCAAATATATTTTAATATGTACTTGATTTCTGGTTTGATTGTTTCAAGTTTAACATTAAAAATCATCACACCCTTGTTACAGTTATGTTTGAATGCTTAGGCTTTTTTATTTGTAGTTTCTTCTACTTGTGAACACCTAAGTAGCACAAACTTGTTACAGGAGTCCCTGCTGTTTAAATTTAAAATTGTTAGAATTACTTGCCAAATGGGGAGTGTTAAGATAACGTTTCCCGTTAAGATAACGGGAGTGTTAAGATAAGGGTAGGATGATACACCAAAAGAATTGGTTCTGTTGCACAAAATTAACATACAATCAACAAACAAGCACAAAGCCAATGCCCCATATTCATCCACCATAACATGACAGATATCATATCATTTAAGATAGAATAGAAAAAATATATGAAGTCATATACCATAAATCTAACCTGTAACCTTTGAGAAATCTGTTCATCTTTCATCAATGTGGGGCCTTTACTCTACATCCTAACTTATCATTGAGTTTTAGACCTTTTCCTCACAGTGCTTTTCTATGCCACCTTTTTCAAATATGTTCTACCCTTTTCTTACCTAAAGAATAGACTAGTGAAGGTTTGTGAGGACATTTGACAATTATCCCTGAACCGATCCAATGTCAATATTGTGTATCCTGGCTGCTGATCAGTGCATTTTGTTCAGTACAAAAAAGCAGCCTTCACAGTTACAGATCCAACTCCCTCATGCAAATGTTCAGCTGTAGATTGCTAATGTGCAGCTACACTTTATCTATCCAACTTTTCTGCCAGCGTTTGTCACAAATGCCTCCAACAAGCCTCAAACACCCTCTGAAGATGACATTTATGTCACACAGGCCTCACTAGATTCTCATCTATATGCAGAGTTGAAAGGGGTAACACCCAAGTGGACAGCCCTGCCTGTCTGCTGTCCTCTGCCAAATACCATCACTTTTGAGAGACAATCTTCAGAAGAGTGGATTGTTTAAAAAAAAAGGCTGAATAAAATAATTCAAACAAAATGCTGACATTTTATTCTTGTTTACTTTCTTGAAACAAAATACCAATTGCCTATATACTGTCTTCTCTTGTCTGTCAAACTCAAAGAAACGACAACCTTTTTGACCCTAAGGACACGCTATTGTTTTTTGAGGGCATGGATTTATTTTTCTCTATGACGACATGTACACTCAATGTATTTTCTTACTGCAAGTTTGATGCAGCATTCGTGGAAGCACAGCCCCATTTGAGACTATTAAATGCATTCAGTCGGTCTTTTCAAATCCTGAGCTCAAATATTCTCTCCTGACAGATCATCAAAATGTATTCCTTCCTGGATTACATAATGGGCGGCTGCCAGATTCAGTTCACGGTGTGTTTTCTCACACAACAGTTCGAATTCCTCAATATTTGCATCGGTGCCTTTTTTGTGGCTATTTGTTTTGCCAGTGTGTCTGTGCGCGTTTCTGTCCCAGGTGGCAATTGACTTCACAGCGTCCAACGGGGACCCGAGAAACAGCTGCTCCCTCCACTACATCCACCCATACCAGCCCAATGAGTACCTCAAAGCGCTGGTGGCTGTCGGGGAGATCTGCCAAGACTATGACAGGTAGAATCCACTCCATCAATCATCATTCACCTCATCCTGGCACAGTCTTCAAATCTCCCTCCCACACAGAAGTTTTCTCCCCCCTGAAACGTTGGATGCACAGAGTGATTAAGTGTATGCTAATCATGTCAAGAGTTTTTTTTTCGCCGTTGTCCATTATTTCCCTCATCGTGTTTCTCTCTATTTTGCCAGTGATAAAATGTTTCCCGCATTCGGCTTCGGAGCTCTGATCCCGCCAGACTTCAAGGTAAGACGTGTGTGCGTGCATGTCTGATGAAGCAGGGGGGGGAGATTAAGATGTGAGCCTTCTTTTGGAGCCACAGCTTGCGTTTTTGATTTACATGCGGAATACAGCCGTCAACCTGTGAAGCAGACCTGACATGTTGTTATCACAACCGTTAAAGGCCGTCTGTTCTCTCCCCCTGCCCGAAGGTTTCCCATGATTTTGCCGTGAACTTTGATGAGGACAATCCCGAATGTGCTGGTGAGCTGCCCCACCTCAAACTCACACATCACAGAAGGAAAAAAGCAACAAAAAAAAAGCCCCGCAGTAGAACTGCTGCACGCCTCCCATCTCCCTCTCGCTGCTAGCCCCATATTTCCCCCTTTTCTAATTCCCTCTCTCCCCATTGTTTTCTCCTTTGTATGCGCACACATTTGCACACACACACACACACATGAAAAATGCAACTGGGAGATTTGTCACATTGCTGCAGGACATACATCCTGCAGCCTCCACGACACAGAGAGAGAGAAACACAGAGAAAAACAACAGTAATCTCTATGTGTCAAATGGGCTTCTGAGCTCCTCTCCCCACATAGCTGCAGTTCCCGTTGATGGTGTGAGTATGTCATAGTGCATTCTGTGCACCGTAATGGAATCCTTTTTTTTTTTTCTTCTAAAAAGCCCAGCAACCTTGGAGTACAATCACATGTGGAGACTCTGATTTACTGCAGCAGAAACTTTTGCAAGTGCTATAACTTTGATTTTGCAAGGTCAGCATGGTGCACTATTAGCCCACAGCCACATGCTAAGGAGTAAGAGACACCAGCGAAGAAATCAAAACAAAAAGCAAAGCCAAATAACCTGTGGGTGCCTGTGTGTTGCAGGGATCCAGGGTGTGGTGGAAGCCTACCAGAACTGCCTCCCTAAGATCCAGCTTTATGGGCCCACCAATATTGCCCCAATCATCCAGAAAGTGGCCTCTTCTGCCTCTGAGGAGATGCACACCAAAGAGGCCATGGTGAGCAAGAAGATGAATAAGGCAGAAAACAACAGACCAGATTTTTTTTTTCCTCTTGTTATGACTGTCAATTAGGAAATGGGAAAAAAAGCTAAAGATGTTGTACATCAGAGGAGTGATATGATGAGAGAAATTAGATGATCTGTAAAGAAATAGGGCTATAATTGATGTTAATTAAATTCCAGCCATACATTTTTTTTAATATGAATCACAGACCTTAAAGCCACTTCTGTCTTGCTTTCTGGTGGATAAGAATGAGTTTTATTTAAATCAGCCCCTCACAAGAAGCCATTTTCAAATAATCAATTCCATTAAACATCTCTTCCTTCTTACCTCACTTCAGTCTATGAATTTCTCCCCTCCCAATATCCCCTCCCCCAATTTAACTATGAACTCAGGAATACTTCATCCTGCTGATCCTGACCGACGGAGTCATCACTGACATGGCCGACACGAGGGAGGCCATCGTGCACGCCTCTCACCTGCCCATGTCCGTCATCATCGTCGGCGTGGGCAACGCCGACTTCACCGACATGCAGATACTGGACGGGGACGATGGGATCCTGCGTTCACCCAAGGGCGAGCCTGTCCTCCGCGACATCGTCCAGTTTGTCCCCTTTAAGGACTTCAAACACGTAGGTGGTCTTGGGAGTTTTGTATAAATTGCATCTTTCTTCTCCACAGCCTTTGCAGACACAATGGATGACAGCCTGTGCTCATTACCAGGATGTCAAATAACGCAATTCCTTTGAGGCTGCTGGCTTTTCTGACACTTGAGGTGTCATTTGGTTCAGGTTCCTTGACATCATAGCACATGCAAAGTATGTGTATTGCTGTCTGAATAAGGCTGCATTAAAAGCTATGAGGTGGTGCATATCATAAGATTTACCATTTTCATCTGTTTTTATTTAACCAAATTAAATGTTCTTAAATTCAGGAGTTTTGAAAGTCAAATCACAATGTTTCAGGAAAAAAGGGAAATATTTGGAGAGTCTTTCTCACCCACAATTCAAATTCAAGTTGATTTGTTTCCATCTATTTTAATATTTTTTGAATTTCTGAAATGTGAGCTGGAAAGATATACCAACCAAAAGACAACTCGATTACACATTTGGCCTTTCAAAGTCTAGAGAAAATGATATCTGCCCATCTCTTTTCAGTAACTGCCACAGGCCCTTTATCAGTGGAGTCTGCAGTTCACTGATCTGGTCCTGATCAGCTTTCACTGACAAAGCAAATGCAGCCTCGCGAATGCTGTTTGAAGAGGTGGATTGTCTTCCCTCACTGTAAATCTCATGTCGGAGAGGGGAAGTTTTCAAACGGATGTAAGACAGATGAGGAAGGAAACCAGCTTAGCGTTTATTATAGTCATCCTTGAGACTTTTGCTTGCGGCAGAGAATTGCATGCAAGTAACAAAGCCGAGTAACTTTTTATCTGCTGTACGGAAATTGTGGATATAAAGTATTTGCAACAAAAAAATTAGAATGCATGATGGTCACTTCCCAAAATATATTTTCTAACGTGATAATTATCCTCCCTCATAATGCAACTGAAATCTTTATTACATGGCATTTTTTATTATATGGTTTGCAATTAAAAGATGTAAATGTTAATATGTAAAGCTTCATTTTAAAAAACATTAGTAATGGTATTCTTTCAGTGGCCTCTATAGTCCAAATAGAATAATATAATTGTGAAAGCGTGTATTATTTAATTAATTGGTGCTTGTTTTTTCAGTGTTTATTATCAACTCTCAGATGACTTTGTCTAAACCCTTCTGATGCAGCTTTTTTCCTCAGTTACTTACTCTGCCCTCATACTAATTCCTTCGTTGCATCACTTAAAATTCACTTGAAGAAAATAGTGCTTGATTGAATGGTGTGGTGTTCCCGGAAATGTTCCAGTTTATATATATTTGAGTGTGTTACTGCTTAGATTATCAAATTAACTGGAGGCGGTCAACATGCACAACTGCAAGCACCACAGATGAGGATCTTTTATTATATTAGCTTGGTAGAGTACTTGTAGGACATGTTACACACGCCTGAAGCGCAATACTCATTTAAAATAAAATCAGTGTTAAAATAGTCAGAATACAATCCTTCAGCTTGATTTGACCAAAACTTTAAAAGGTTATATTTCAGCAATGTTTGTTTGGAGTCGCTTGATTAGTCTTTCTTTGTTAGACTTTCAGATTGGCGCTTCCACTTTGAAATAACAAGATAATTTTGTGTGTGCGGGTGTGGGTGTGCATGTATGTGTGTGTGTGTAATATGCTTGCCAGACTCGTCAAAACACATCAGTTCTCTGCTTTCCTGATTATGTGTGCTTCTGTGTGTGTGCGAGCTTGTGTCACTGTCTCACTGGCGCCATTAATTTTGCCTGGCTCCAACCAGATGTGTTTGGTGGGGTCCGTTATGGTGAGTTTGGTCTGTGACAGGTTGGGAAATTAGGCAATTATATCCCTTTGAATCAGCAAGTTAAGGAGTAGGAACATGTATTTAATATTTGAAGATGGAAAATTGGACAGGAGGGGAGAACTGATATGAATAATGTGGAGGGGGTGAGGGAGAGAGACAGCTCCCTGTGGTGATAGCACTGGATGGGGGAAGTCAACAGCGGACCAGAGCTAAAGACAAAAGGGAACGAAGGAGTGTGTGACAGAGGTGGAGAGGTGATTTTCTGCTCCGTCGTTTCTTTTCAGAAGGGATTAACAGGACCGAGCTGCCGGATGACAGGCAGAGAGGAGGATAACAGGTAGATGGAAGCAGAAGGGAGAAAGGAGGTGGGAGGGTGGAAATGAGAGGAGGAGGACGATGAGTGAGGAGATTGGGGTGGAAGCACTTTGATGATGCATTGTCTCATGGAATTACGTGAGACGGATAACGACGGAGTCTGACTTTGACGATTCTGAAGTATGTGTGTGGGAGTAATGTCTCAGTTTGTGTGTTCATATCATACGAGCAAGGGTTTTCTCAAGCAACTCTCTGGACATTTGGGAGAGGAATATGAAACATTCGTTTTTAAATTAAGATTTTGGGGGATAATATGAACTCTTCTTTGAGGATACATGACAAATTTTATTCAAAAGATTGACATGCCATCAGGCCAATACAGCACAAAGAGAGTCTGCAATATAGCAACATCTTGTTGAAATAAGCAAGATCTTTTTTTCTAAAGAAAATGCCTGCTTCCATTACATGTTGCTTTGAAACCTGTATGTACTTTTCAGTGCAGATGGTAGTTGTTTTTTTTTGTATGCAAGCTTCCGGTTCCATTGGCACTAATAGACTTCTTTATCACTAGAGATGGAGACTTTTGAACCGACTGCTGATAAACAGCTCGCTCACCACAAACTGGAACTGCATCTAATCTCCCCTTAAATTTGGAGGACACATTATTGTTGATCATTCATCCGCTCACAACCACTCCTCTAAAAGATCCCCGGGGACATTCTGTGTGAGGTAGTATTTGGTCTCCAGTTTGCTGCTTTCCCGGCCTATTATCTCTGTCTTAGCATGCATGTCAGAGACTTTGGGAGGAACTAGTCACATAAAAGACATGTACTGATGGAGACACTAAAAGGTTTCACTCCAAAAGTAGCTGCCTTTGAGGGGAGAGTTTCCATCACTGTGCCCCTGTGCTACTTAAAAAATACAGTAAAGAACTTCAGCTGAAAGGATGAAGGCAGTTCTGAAATACATCCTGATATTAGATTCATAAGATTAGATCCCAAAGGATGAATGATTTCAAAGTGTAGGTGTGCGCTCTAAACTTTCGGAGCCTTCAGTTTCCCCATAGCTTTTATATTCAAACTGGAGAGGTAGATTTTCAAATGCATACCAGCCTCCATAAACAAGAACGAGCATAGTTACTCTGCTGCAATGTGTGCGATCTTTTACTTTTGTGTTGTGTCCCAATTGTCCTTTAATGCCTAATCTGAAAGGAGCTGTCACGATATGATGTAATTGTCTGCTGTGCCATTTAGTTGCACTCATGCTGACACCAGAGGGTAAAAATAGGTGAAAACAGACATGTTTCAGAGGATGTCAGATGAATCATATCAATCTCAGTCATCTGCACCTTTGGCAGCAAAAGTTCAACAGTAGATTAGAGCCGTCGAGACAAACCCCAGGCTGGTGATGTATGCATATTTATGACTCCTTTCCTCCTCTGTCTGTATTTCCAGGCCTCCCCAGCAGCTTTGGCAAAGAGTGTTCTGGCAGAGGTCCCTAACCAGGTGGTGGATTACTACAATGCGAAAGGAATCAAACCTAAGTGTATGTCCGACTACGAGTCCACGAGAGCCTTCAGCCCCTGACAATGGACTGTGTCACACGATTCTATACATACACTCTCTCATATTCATACATAAATCATACTAGTATATAAATACTTCCAAGTACTGTAAAATACATTAAACATGTCCAAAAAGCACAAGCAAACACACCCAAGTATGTACACAGAACAATACTACATAAGTAGTCTAGCTCAGAGAATTAGCTTGTTGTGGTGAAATAATTTGATCTACTACATTGATGACTATTGCATGTTTGGCCACAATGGCATCACCTGAAATATTATTCCTATCTACTGTATATTGAAAAGGTATTTCTAGAAATAATAACAGTCTTCTGAACCAGCATGTAGACTCTTACTGAAGCCCATTGAAAGAAATGACACTCCTACCTTATTTAGATAACTAGCAAGTAGATAGATGGAAAGATCTATGAGAGTGAAGGCTTAAATATGAGTCTGCATAGCCTAAAATGTTTAGAATTAGCATTGCAAATGTTATTCATGGGAGTGATGGCATTCCAGTTAGTGTACTGCATAAATGCATGCCTAATCAGCCCCCACTAATATCAACTCTTGAATAGTTGCTTGCTGGTTATGAAATAAAGTATCACTGTCATTTGTGTGAAACTGGGGGTTATCTTTGGAGTCTGAGGTTCTTTTATACAGATTTGTTTGTGATTTTGCTAAATGGAAATAAATAACTTAATAACTATAATAATTTCTTAACAATCTTCTTACATTGTAAAGAGTTTTGGGAGGGTAGACAAGCGTGTGTGGTAGACACTCATCTGTAAGCTGAAAATAGTTTCTTTTTCTGTATTTTGCATGTTGATAATAATAAACGTGGTTTGATTTTCTCATTTGAGTGCAATGTGTGTTTTTTCTGTGTTTGTTATTATGGGGTTTTGTCTTATGGAAACAGAGAGAAAAATTAAATATTGTCAGATCATTAGCATTCATAGAATAAGACATAAGATGGAAGGAATGAAAAAGAAATTAAAGATGTGAAGTTCAATTTTTGTATCTTTCATGATTCAATAATCTGCAATGTTGAAATCTACAAAGTGCATTGACACTTGCAGTATGAATATAGTACCAGATTCTAAAGTCTTAACCTTAAAGTTCCATGGTGGTTCCAACACCATTTTTTTTTTACTTTACCTTACTTTTCAGGACCTGTCCTTTCAGACATTAAAATGCAAGAATAAATTATTTCACCAATCTCACCGCAGTCAATTAGTAAAACCCACAGTTGGTTAGTCCTGAGGGTGCTCTCCTTATGTGCTACAAGCCTTAATGGTCAGATCAGTATTCAACCCACAAACCCACTGATATCTGTTTTTCCCACATCAGCAGAGTCAGAGAGTGAGAGAAAGGAATAGTTTCAAGACAACTATAAATTACTTTTCTTATTTATATATTTATTTGATGGGGTTTGGGTCCCTTCTGATTATGGCTAGGATTATGGTTGAAAAGTATTTAACAAGATATTGATCATTCATTGTGAACACAAACAAATGCTGTCCCTCATGCTGTGAAGATGAAACTGAGAATTACTGTTTCAATCAATCTTAATATAATTTCAAGAATAAAACTGGACCGTTATCTGTAAGAATAATGCAGTATGAGGGTTCATAGTTTGAATCCTGACCGTGGCTTTGTATATTTTGTGTGCTCTGCTCTTGTTTTCGTTGTCTCACATTGGGTGAACCGGTAGGGTTGTTTGTTTTTGTTTTGGCCCCGTGAAAGTGTGTTAAACTGTCCGGTGGCAGCTTGGATAGGTTTCTCCACCAACTTAATTCTGTGCAGGATGAAAAAGAGCTGAACTTTAATAAAGAAATACTCCTTGAGACTTTATTTTTTTAGATAAAGCATTTTAGATCATAATTATACAAATACATCTAAGTAAAATGTGGATTTAGTTTTTAGTTTTATTTGATTGAACATATGAGTGGATACTAGAAGATTATCGAAAAATGAGGGGGGGGGGGGGGGGAAAAAACCCCTGCGGAAAAGTTGATACTGTCCGTGATGTTGCGGAACTGTTTTGGTTGGGTACCGGAAGTGCCAAGGGTGACATTTGTCACAGAGCGGAAACGAGCACAGGCACGTTTCAACAAATGTTAGGTGACTCTTTAAAGTCATAGTTTACATGTAGTGGATATTGACATCTGCATTAGTGGACCACGGAGCAGAATGGCGGCGTGGGGCTGCCGGTTTCTTCTTCAGCGGGGAACGCGACTCCTCTCTCCTCCTGCATTAGCAGAAAGGTAACGATGCTAGTTGGCTAGTTGTGCTAGAGGTGTGTGGATGTAGACGGAGTGTATTTTTAACCTTACATAAACTGAATTGCTAATAATCACATGCTCTCTTGTTGTGAGAGCTTGTACTTTTCAGCTATGTCTAGGTATTGTGCTGTTCTATGATCGCCCCTTTGGACAATTTGTTGAATAACGGATGTTGTTCAGAATTCCAACAAAAGTAAACTAAGTTCAGGACTTCCTCCTATTAATCCTCAACTGAAATAAAGAAAGTAATTACTGTTATGGCAATGTACTGCCAGAAGATTTTTCGATTACCACACTCTAACGAGCTGTGCTAAGTGACCCATCACATTGTGATAAGAGTCATCATTGCAAAATATGCCAATGCTGATCCATTTTATTTTATATAGGAAACTTTGCTTTTTTGTTGTTTATTTGAGAACACACAATCTTTTATTGGATTCTGCTACGAAAAACATTGACAGTCCAAAATCTAATCATTGCCACATTGCATATACATAACCTCTTTCTCTGTGCCAGCAGAAAGAACAAGTACCATGTTCTTGATAGATTTTACACTGGATGCTTTCTTGAGGAAGAAGGTTGCTCTGAGGTTTTAAAAAATTGACATAACAGTAATTGTATCTCTGCCTTCCCTCTGCCCCTATTTACCTACAGAACTTTTCTTTTAGAGGCTTCCCTTGGATCCTGACAGTCATTTAAGCTAACAATCGAAGCGTCACTTTTCCAAATACGTGCATCTTTACTTTGCCATGAACATCTGACACTAGTGCTCCTCGTCAGAATGGATTTGATTGTCCGATTTATTCCGCATTACAACAGAATGGTTTTCTTTTAATATGAAGCCCTAAAAGTCTGTATTGAAATATTTAATTTGCTGCTACTGATATGAATGTCTGTGTTTTATCATGGGACTTATTTGTTGTTGAATATTTCCCATATCTGTGTCATTTGCCGCACACATGATAGTGGTTCATCAGATCACACACTGTTTGCATGTTGCTTTAGTTGGCACAATGAGAAATATGAAACAGTTTTCCCCAGTTCTCTGTTTCCTTCTCTTCCAGCCCTGTCCAGCTGGTGGCTTTTGTTAGGACTGTAAAGACGACAACATGGTTTGATGAACACCTCACAGAGGACAATCAGAAGTTCATGAGGAACAGCATGGCGGAGGAATACAAAGAACAGACGGTCGCAAAGCTAAATCCACTCAAAGATGAGCCATGGCCAAGACATGAGTGGACAGAAGGTAGGTGTGGTAATTAAAGAGGACTGTGTCTGTGATGAGTCCCTTCCCTGTTTGGCTCACTTTTACTCTTTTCATCTGTCCCCTCTGCAGGCAGTCGACGAGTTGGGCTAGTTGCTGTAAAGTTGGGCATGGCACCTATCTGGACAAAAACAGGAGAAAGGCACACAGTCACCTTGTTACAGGTAGCATACAAATGCACTCCGCTGTTTAGTCTACGCCTGAGCTTTAGATTCGATATCCCGCTGGATTTCACTGGGAATAGCAATAAGAGTTTGTGTTTGTCACCCAGATTGAAATGACCAACAGGTCAAAGAAACCTTTCGACTAAATTGGATTGTTCTATTTAGCGTGGTAGAAGATGAGCAGCGACTTCAGATGATGTTGCATTTGAAATCCATCAGTGCTTCTCTAAAAACTCATCCTCTGCTGCAACAATGTGTGAACAGGAGGTTTGGGATGTCAGCTTTTATTCAAATCACTTTTTAATCAAATTGAATATTCTCCTGAAAGTGTAACACGGGCATCATATTTCAACACGATATTAAGTATTACCTTCATAAGATGAAGTAGAGGAAAAGAGTAACAATTTTCTATAAGACCTTGAACTCTTTGAGGCGTTGTCAGATTCCGTATTTCATGTTTCGGTTTATAGACCAGACTGTGTGGAGCTGTCCCATGGACCATTATTTTCAAATTCCCCATGAATTTAAAAGCGGATCAGAATTCAGACCGTTCTCTCTTTCGAGGAGACAGTTCGATCACCAGTTGCTCTGTATTTAAATATAATTTCCAGTGTAGCACTGACTTCTTCCTTGGTTGGTCTGTATGTTTAGCTTTTCAAAACCTTCTAATTTTGTTCCTATTTGCTGTAAACGAGAGACACTGACAACAACCTGGCTCTTTTGCCACCAAGAGCTCCACGCTGCATTTCTTCTTGAAGGAGTTTCCTAACCAGCTCCCTTTTTAGTCTTGTTTCCACCCTGCAAACATTCTTCTTTTTAACTATAGTGTTTCATTAAAATTGTTCAGACTGGTTTTAGAAATGCAGAATAAAAGGTGATTCCAATGTTTTTATCTTCTTCTTCTTAGAAATATGGCAAGAATTCACAAAACGTTTAGTCTAACAATATATTTGACTATATTCATATTATTTCATTATATATATATATTATAGACCTTCTTTTTTAATTTGGTTAAAAAAAGAAAAAGCCAAATGGCCGTTGCCAAAAGTGACGATTCTGTAGTCTTTGCTCAGTCATGTGAAATATAACCAGGCTGTGTTTTCAGAGCCTTGAAATTCTTTTAAATGGACTAATCTGGGGGCAGTAAATGTTGGAAATGAAAAGAAGTGGGAATATTTCTTCATGCTCCATTGAACTGTTCAACAGGGCTGCCCTTTTGGAAGCTGACAATCTACGTGGACTGCCTCCGTCTGTCTGTTCAGCCATAACCCTCGCGTGCTGCCGACCTCTATTAGTTTGGACTGACAGAAACAAGTTTCACTGACTTGGCCGGACTTATTCCGGGCCGCGCACGGCGCCCACGAGCTGAAAGTCACTGTTTGCACAACATGCATAATCAGCATCTGCAGGGTTCCAGAAAAGGTGCAAACAAATTAAAGATGGCACAGATACTTTGTGAGAATATGAAGCAACCGATAACTATTATTTAATTTATGTTAAATTGTAGATGACTTAAATAACCATTAACAGTGTTTTTTTAAGTCTTTGTGTATTATAAGATTAAAATCCTGCGAGGAACAAATATCCCCCGCTGGTATAACTTTTGGTGCATGCAGTCGTTTCCTTTGCAGCTGTTCTGTTATTGGTCTGTGTGAAATGAAATGTGGAAAATTGAATTTTGCCTTTGCGGGGCTGATGCACCACCTCCCCTTTGATTACTTGTGACACACATTATCGGAACTCGCTGCCAATGCAGAGCAGCTTTGACTGTGGATCATTAAAAGGCCATTTTTGTTTAGTTATTTATTTATTTTATGCAGACATCGACATGTGATTTACTCGTCCTGTCCAGCGTCATGTCAGATATCCGATTACTATCCATCATGAATAGATATTAATATTTTGGTCAAGGCTCTTCTTCCTAATTGCTTAAGCATTTATGTCACAGCAGGAGGGACCTGAAAACTGTTATCAGTTACTTTGCCAACTAATTCTTATTCTTTTTGATTATTAAACAAGTCATTTTTATTGCATTTATTCCCAGGTCCAAGACTGCCATGTCATCAAATATCTGTCGAAAGAAGAATATGACGGACACACCGCTGCCCTTGTCGTGGGGGGAAAGAATGTCTCGCCATTCCATGTAAGTGGTCGTAATAAGGACTGTTTTACTTCACATTAGCCTGTTGGTTACTGCTAAATAAAAGTTACTTTCATTTAGTTTGATCAGACTTTTCTTTTAGTTCGGTTTGTTGGGTTCATTTTTTGTTTAAGAATTAAACTTTACATAAATAAAAACCTTGATAGTTAACTTAGTTCTGCTTCTCACCTCATTGTGGGTAATAAAGGAAAACGGAGATGGCCTTGCAAACAGGAATTTATGCAATTTTCTATCTGTTACAGTACTTTCCATCAAGCTGTGTTTACACAGGAGTTGTAAACTGCATGCAATGCTTTTAGAATTAGATGTTTGTTTGTTTTTTGTACAAATAGAAAGAATTTCAAAGATACAAAGTCTTAAAATTCCACATCAGTGATTTATTTGCTTTATTTCTAAAGAGAAAAGTGGTAAATGTCTCCTATTCGCACCTCGATTTGGATGCCAGCAGTGATGGAAGATTATTAAGATGCTGACAGATAATCGTTATTTTCAGTTTAAATGTTTAAAGGGCAGAGGTCAACAACAAGAGGCCAAAAGTTGACTGTTAGCAGTCAAACCAAAACCCCCAAAATATATATATATTGTTGTAAAAGTACTAACTTTAGGAACCATGTTAGCTGTTTTAGTGCTAACAATATGTCTGCAACCAGATTGAAAACAGCCAGCCCAACTAATAGATCGAGATTTGATGATGGAATTTCAGTGTTTAGCTCAAACGCCGATAGGAAGGAGAGCTGTTAGATATGCGGTTGCTTTCGGTGGAGGACGGCCAGCGTTTCCGCTGCTGATGAGGATTTTTGAGTTGTGCTGTGAGCAGACTGTTATGCACTGGTGCTATTCTACCTCCAGTCTGCAGCCAAATGACGACGGGCTAAATAATTAAGTGAGCACAACTAGCCTGTTAGCTGCTACACAGAATGGAGAATACAGAGATGACTCCACTCAGACCGGTCCAGGACTAAATAAGCTAAATGTTGTTGTTTTAATTTTATTTTTCTATTTTTTTGTTTTTGTTTTACCTATTAATGTAATTATTTAGTAAGTAAGACTGATTTGAATACTTTAATTCCCAAAGGGAAAATATATACTATCAGAAATCGTTCACTTTTCATTTTTGTGAATATTTAGAAGAAGAGAAAAAAACCTAAATAAGCTCTCCAGGCATTTTCTCCTCGCTTCACAATGTCACATATTTGTACAATGCCCATCCGACAGCTCGTTTGGCACGATTGGCAAAATTGTTTGCTGTCTCCTATTTTGAGTATCTCACAACTCCACCAAACTGTAAATGTCTCAACCGTGAGCAAAGCCCGCCAGCTATTCTGCTGTTGGCTGCGAAGGCACCGAAGTCTTGACTCTCTTCCAGCTTCAGGAGCTGAAACAAAGTGTTTTCGGCAGATTCAGACTAAAGCTGTGGCAGCAATGAACAGCAAGGGGAGAGCGACATTGTCTTAATTATGGCAGTTTTAACTTTAAATCAACATTATCATTATATTGGTCTCCATATTTGATCGTCATCCAAAAATAAATGAGTTCAAAAGCTTTATGAGCACCTCAAAAATCTCCTTCTGGATAGCTGAATTCAAAGCTGTTTTTTTCCCCGTCTGTAATAAAGCATAATGTTCAGTCACTCCCTCACACTTGCTTTGGAAACTGAAAGTCCCAACTAAGCCGACAGATGACATCGGTTATTAAATTTACTCTGAACTTGTGCCGTGGACAGGGTCACACTCAGAGATGGGATTTTAAAGATTTTAAGGTTGCCCCTTTCTGCCCCACATGAGTGGGAAGGACATCTGCCGTCGCAATGAAAAAGCGACATTGGAAGAATGAATGAATCAAAGTGGGATTTATTCATTGAGTCTTGATGGATTTTTGACGGATCGGTTCCAGGATTTCACCTGTGGGGGTTTTGGAACCCCCCTCCCCACACACACACACACACACACACACACATACACATAGGGCCACATCACTCCTCAGTCAAACGTAGCGTGTTGGAGGGAAGTGCTTTGGCAGGCCGATTTTTAGCTAGCAGAAGGGATGAGGGAGAGTTTGGAGTGACTAGAGGAGCCGAGCTGAGAACTATCAGAGGGAAAGCAAATGTCAGAGAACGCTGCTGCCAAAGCTGCACGCACATGCCTTCAAGTGTGTGTGTGTGTGTGTGTCTAGCTCCAGGACCGACTTATTTCTTCTTTCTTTTACCTTTCCGTTTACTAAACTTTTGCCGACTCTCTCTTCCCGTCGTTTCCTCCCGCAGAAGTCAGAGGAGAGAATGGAGATGTTCATGAACGCAGGAGTGCCTCCCAAGCAGAAGACCACCACCTTTAAGATCTCTGACAATGCCATCATCAAGCCAGGTACGAAGATCCCAATCGATTGGTTTCTCGGTCCGAAAAGCTGGCGGCTTCCGAAAAAGCCTTAGTGCATTTGCTCCTTGTGTGCAGGCACTCCTCTGTATGCAGCACACTTCCGTCCAGGCCAGTATGTGGACGTCACTGCCAGATCGTGAGTTCTCTCCTGCCAGTTATTCCCCTCCCGTGCCTCTTTTCCCCATTTTTTCCTGCTTTTTGCCTTCCTCTTAGTGCCAGATCATGATTCGCTGGTGGATTAGTATTTGCTTTCGGAAGGAAATCCAAACCCCTTATTTACGTCGACGTTTGCCACTGAAGCTTTAAACGATGCTACGCCTCTGATATTTCCACTTGTTGGGTTTTTTTCGCCAGCATTGGCAAAGGCTTCCAAGGCGTAATGAAGCGGTGGGGATTCAAAGGCCAGCCAGCCACCCACGGCCAAACCAAAACCCACCGCAGACCGGGAGCCTCTGGACCAGGAGGGGTGAGACACGCGCCCACACCCCACTGAGGTTTCCATTCCAGACACGAACAGCCGGTTTCCCATAACCCAATCCCCCCCCTCCCCTCCCATCCGCATACAGGATCCAGCCAAAGTTTTCAAAGGCAAGAAGATGCCCGGCCTAATGGGGAACATCTTCGTCACAGCTCACGGGCTGAAGGTACACGGAAAGACCTGCTCTTTAGATTTTTTTTTTTTTTTTTATCTCGCCGGGATCCGACAGTTGGTCCAGTTTAATCTGCCTCTGCTCTGTCTGACAGATATGGAGGGTCAACACCAAGTTAAATGTCCTCTACGTTCACGGCTCGGTCCCCGGCCACAAGAACTGTGTACTGAAGGTAAAATCCATCACACACACGCGCACACACACACGTACACACACATAGTGGAGGTGCACCGGTCTAACCCAGAAAAGTGACCCTGCACCTGCACAGCCGTGCGATTAATCTTCATGGACACTCTGCTGGATCAGCTGTGTGCGTCGGGGTGTTTTTCGGTTTGGGGGTGGAAGCGTGCACCTTAACGATGTTAATAATACCCACCACGGCCGTCCCCACGACTGTGTGTGTGTGTGTGTGTGTGTGTGTGTGTGTGTGTGTGTGCCGCACACGTGAAGGCGGTTATTTGTTTCGGAGACAAGCAATAATGAATACAAATGCTTTTTGCATTTAGCCACTGGGAGCCTCACACACACACACACACACACACACCTGGAGTCCCTTCAGATTACGTTCCCCCAAAGGCTCCACATACAGGTTAATGGGGTTTGTTCACTGTTTCTTGGTTTTATTTACCAACGCACACCGACGTCCACATGTAAATGAGCGAGCTCTGTGATGGATTACATTTAAAACTCCAGCAAACTAATAACAGGTTTGGGGTGGATTTCTTTTGTTTTGGTTCTGTAATTGGTATTTGTTGGTACGACCACGGGCAAATTCATGCTGAATAAATGTTTGCTTACCTCATCTGTCCGTCAAATTGATCATTTCAATGATTTTAATAACTGAGATTCTCTCAATTTCTTCTTTTTTTTTTCCCCAAAGCAGATCGCTATCTAATTGAAATTTGCATATTTATTACATGAATTTAGACTAATGAAAGAAAACGTGGCTCCAGCTCCTGCTTTCCTCCCTGCGTGCTTCCTTAAACACAATAACTCTCACAGGGCAGAGTGTGGAAACTTGGTAATTGTCTTCCTCCAGCTTTCAATTCCTCTGCCCTTTCTCTCGCTGAGGTCTCAGTCCAGCCGGCTTTACGTGACTGGGAATTATCAGCCCACTCGAAGAGAGTGGTTTCCACCACCGATCTCTTTCCCCCTGCCCACGTTTGTTTTGTGCCTCCGTCCCCAGCAGCCCCGCCGTTTTCTGCTGAGAAGACGACAAAAGGAAACCCCTTGGCAGCTCTAACAGTAACGCAAGGGTTGCAGTTTTTCTCTTTCAAAGCCCTTTGAGCCGATTCTTTTTTTTTTTTTTTCTCTCCGAGTATGAAAGTTTGAACCCGTCCTCTGGGAAAACAGCACCTCGTACCGGCACTCCCACTTGAACAAAACGCAGAGAGCGCCTAGATTGTTTTTCCACGTGAGGATTTGGGCAGTTTTTCCTCAGGATGAGAGAAGAAGGGCCGCTTTGACAAACAGGGATGTTTAAGCCCGGCTGACCTATAACGGCAGCACCTGCCGTGCTCTGAGCTGTTCATTAAAAACCAGGCCTGAGCTTTCACTTTCAGGCAGAGAAATGCTGCCTTCTCCGGGTTTTCCCGTATCGGCGAAAAACCGATTTTCCAGCAATGCGAAGACACAATGGTTGCGAGTTACCACTTCTGTGCTGCTGATTTATTTTTCTATCTTCTGGCCCTCGTAGCCACCGCGTTGACAAGCTAATAGATGATTGTGTCGGAGATGGAGTTGTCACGTCGGGCGTATTTATTGTGTTTCTCCACCGCTGTCACCTCTGTAACGGGCCCTGTTCGAGCGCTTCCTGTCCCTCCATCCATGCCGTTAGAGTCCCCCGCCTCCGCAGAATGGGACGAAACCAGCACGCAGTAATAAATGACTCTGGCTGAAGCGTACGATATGATTTTTCAGGAAAGATTCCATTTATTTGCCATCGTTCCCAGACGGATGACCTCGGCTCGGCGAAGGGCCGGGCGCGGGCGTAAATGATTTTGGCCCTGCTCTGTTATAACACAACAGATGTTTTTTTGGTGTGATTTTTTTTGTTTGTTTTTTCAAGGGAAGCATATGCGATCTATTCGAGTGAACCAGGGCCGTTTGAGCGTATTCACATACGTCCTTCCTGCGTCTAAATCTGACTCAGATTAGAATAAATCTGGAATGGATTGGCCAGCAGAACTGCTCCATCAGTTTTCTGAACATTAAGTATTGCTTTCTCAGCTTTTTTTTTATCGTAATCGTTAAGACTTAGGATTGTTTTAAAGTCGTAATGACTCTGTGAAGTCCATAAGCATCATTTTTGAGCAGCGTTTAGATGGATAACGCTGCACCAAGCTTTATTGATCCACATAGACTGTTTGTGGCTCCTCTGCTGCCTTTTTTTTGGAAACATAAAAACTTCCAACTTTTGTTTGCAGTTTATTGCAATGCGGAATTAAAACCAGAAAAATAGATTTTGCAGATATTAAACGGAGCAGATGACGTAGCTGGTCAGAAATGGCCAAATTCTCTCTCCTTTTAATGATCTGAATGGTCTCTGCCGTGATGCTTAATTGACCGTCTGTGTGTCCGGCAGGTCAGAGACACGGTGCTGCCCACCAGGAGCTCCACCCTGGTCCACCCGCCCTTCCCCACATACTTCACCGAAGAGGAGGGCGACCTGGATGAAGACCTGTACGACGAAAACCTGTTCGTTCACACGGATCCGTCGTTAACTCTTGCCTGACCAGCGTCCCCGCTGACCACTCGCCGCTGACCACCCGCCGTACCCGCGTGCTTCAATAAATAGTAATTGCTAAGACCGTGTTTGTGCTTGTTGCCGTGAGTTCTTACCAGAGACGTACAGTGGCACAAGGCCCCGTTTCATCCAAACAGTTATTACTGTCCTTTTCTGCCGAAACCATGGTAACTGTGCGAGTGATGATGTCACTGAAGGATCCCCGAGCCGGGAGGAAAAAGGGGGGGCGGGGGGGAGGAAAGACAATGAAACTAAACAGAGGGGCAGATGTGGTTGAGAAATGTGCAATATCTATGCAGGCTGGATAAGAGGGAAGTAGTGGGGTGGGGCGTACAACGGCGAGGAGAATACAGACAGAAAAAGGAAAGGAATATATGGGTAGGATGGGGGAGTAATGAATTGGCCATAAGGCATGGAAACAGACACGTAAGAAAAGGAAAGGGGGGAGATGAGGCGGTGGAGGGCATCTAAAGAGGGCAGAGAGGCAGAGGCAGGGATGAAGGCTGACAAAGGTTGACATTTGTGCATAAGAGGATAAATGGGGACATTAATATTGCAAGAGGAACCGCTGTGCACTTAAGTCTGTTTGTGTGTTTATCAACAGCCACATTTAAATGAGAAAGACTTGCTTTGGGCGATGATGGATTCCCCCCCTTTGGCACCGCGTGGATGGCTTTTTGCTTTTTTTGTGTGTGGAGACGAGTAGAAAATAATCAAATAAGCGTGGTGTCCTTTAAACTGTTGTCTGGAATCCTCAGGAGCCCGCGTGTGAATCGGTCCCTGTGCGCTGGCCTCTGCTCCGGATCTGCCGCGTAATTGACAGCAGCAATAACAAGGCTTTTTGTTTGAAACGCTGACAAGATGTTGTGAAGGCTCGCAGAGAAAAGCGACTGTGGACACCCCGGCGCAGATTCCTGTCGGCTAATTGATGCAACACACAGCGGCTCACGATCTGAAACCGTGGAACACAAAAGTGTCCGGCACAAAGTGATGACAAGCCGTTTTGCATGTGCTGATCAGGGGAACGTCCCATAATGTGTAGGGCCGTGAGGCTCCGGCCTTTTTTTGAAATGGTAATAATATCGTTTGAAAGTCCTGCTCTGTCGAGCCTGCACATCATCAGGCTCTTGTGGGAAGGAAGCAAGGAGGGGGGGGGGGGGGGCCTGTTAAAGCACCAGAGCAGAAACGGGAGACGAGGTCCATCCTGATTTGTGCAGCTGGGGCCTCTGATTACCTCCAGACGTGGCGTGTGCAGGACTGTGGACTTATTTTTAGTGTTTTTTTTTCCTGCAACAGAGACGCAGGTTAGACCGTCTTCTGTCTGACAACGCACCCCACGACAATAACGCCTTCAGAGGGATCAACAAACACCCCATGAAATGATCTGCCTGTGGATTTTTTGTGCCTTACCAATTTGCTTTTTTAGTTATCATCATCCCACCCACTCACCTCAGAGCAGCAGGACACCAGAGGTGTTCCGTATTGCTGTAGGACACAGTAATTACTACCTCACTTCATTGTGTGTGTGGGTAAAATCCACTCGGACGCACACTCATTTGCAGATTCGAAGTTTTCACCCAAACATGTTCACCGTAGCTCCGTTTCGCCCTCGGAGCCAGACGAAAAATGTTATTGTGACATATCTGCAGCCCGGGGAATAATGAAATGACTTTGACTCGACTTTACTGAGACTCGGTTGCTAAGAGATGACATGGCCTCAGTGAGCAGAACCTCTCAGCTGTCAAATCCTCGCCAAGCAGGCCTTCTGCTGCTGTGATTTAGGATTGAAATCCCTTGTTCTCAGCTTGTCATGCAAATAGCACCGACGTTGATAATAAATCTGCTTATTATTTCCATGATTCGCTGGTTTATCAACAAAGCTCTAAAAGTGGAGAGGTGGAGGTGGGGGTGGGGGGGGGTGCATTTCATTAGGAAAGAAGAACAGTAATATGCAAGTTCGTTTGGAACTTCTCAGCCTCTTCTCCCTGTTTTTGCCCTCATGAAGACTATTTCTGATGAGATTTCTGCAACAGTCAGCATGGAATATGCTAAGTTTTAGGCCAATAGCTCTTTGGTAATCGTCTTCATGATGCAAAGAAATATAATTTTAAGTCTGTCTTTTGATAGACAATTAATCATGTGTCTTTTACTATGTTTGTATGATTCATGGATAAATGTTCACGGGCTGAGTGTGTATTACAAAATGGAAAAACCCACATTTGTCTGAAAATAGCCAGGTACGAGAAATCCACTGAACACGTTTCACAAAGCAGCCAGCGTTCAAAGAAAAAAATCAAAAGGCCTTCAGAAAAGCCTGGAGAACTATTGCTCATGGCCTCTCTAAAAGGTTGAAAAGAAGTTTGGTTCCAAGGAAGAAAAATATCAAGAAATGTAATATTGATGTACACTGAGCTTTTATCTGTGAGATCAGTGTTAGAAACTGAACCAGATGGATTCACACTCTTTTAATGAGCAGTTAGTCAAATAATCATACAACAGTTTCAAAGCAGATTAATGTTTAAAATGTGTTAGTGTAAAGAGGCAAAGAGCCCCAACACAGAAACTGTGCAGTTTACAGCATTTAAAAAGGGGACCCTAAAGAAAACTATGCAAGTTTGAGCTGTACTTGGACTGTTTTTAACACATTTTTCTCTGAGAAGTTACCCAGAAAACTATATTTTTACCCCCATCCGAGTAAGTGTTGTCATGTGACTGAATGAAAACTACTGAGGGAACCTCAGAACTTGATTCCAAACTTACTTTGACTCAAAACAACACGCAGCTGCTGTCCTTGCCCCTCCAATTCCCATCCCGGGTTTCTCAGATATCTTATCCGTGCATGCATTTGAATGGACTAATTAAAGAGCTGTCCAAGTTTGAGCTGATCCTAAACATTGGGGGGGGGAGAAACGGGGCCCACCGTTTTGACTCTGCTCTGAAATGATGGATCTGCTGCTCTACTTCTTCTGGCTCAACACATGAGAGATCTGATTTTCATTAGGAAAGAGGACAGACACACAAGTTCCCCCGATTTCTGCGCATGCGCACAAGCTGTGACCATCTCCATCTGTTACACACACACACACACACACACACTCTCCTGCCATGCTTCAAAAAACTCTCCATCCATGGCTGGCCAGCACCTGAGTTTTATACCTGAGTTCCTGGCCGGGGGTTTTGTACGTCGAACGTTTATGCACTGGCCTGCAACCCGCACACACACACACACTCTCTCAGCTCCCGTGATTGTGTGTGTGTGTGTGTCTTGCGACATGAATTATTAAGCGTGTTATTTGAGGGACAGCTGGCTGCCGAACACATTAACTCCCCCAGCCAGACAGATGGTTATACAGTGAAGAGAAGGAAGGGTCGCCAAACATAAGAGAAGAGAGGGAACCAGAGGACGCTAATGCAGTTTGAGGCTGACCTGCTTTCGGCGGGCAGTCATTTTACAGAGTGTTTACACAAGCTCTCAAGTCAATTAATGCAGTTAGTGAGAAGAAAAAAAAAAATCCACGGCAGATGGATTGAAACTATCTTGTTTTTTGACCGTATTTATTCAAATGGGGACACACGTTGTAATGGAGGAGGACTTGAGTGAAAGAGCAGGCTGGTTTGCCGTCGTCACACATCCCCTCTAAGCTGCTTTGCTGGTGTTCCTGCGGTGAGCCCCTCCCAGTCGTGCACACCTGGGGTCTCAGGGGGGTGTGTGCATGCGCACCTCCCACCCGTGGCGGTAAATTTGGGTTCCTTCCTTCCAGCACTGCTGAGTGAGAGCAGGGTGCAGTCTTTGGGTCCCCACTTTCCTCTCCGTGGGTGTTCCTTTCCTGCCTTCAGATGTTTTGTCTGCGTGGGATGTGTGTGTGTGAGTGTGCGTGTGTGTGTGTTTGTGTGTGTATGTGTGTACCCGCTTTGTCTTAGATGACCTTACAAAGGCAGTCTATCTTTTGCTACTTTTTAATTGTTTCACACCCCTCACCCCCTCAATTAAAGCCCACCTTAGATCCGAGACATCTCCATGGTAACAAAGATCAGTGGAGGAATGAGTAAGTCGGTATGTGAGAGGCAAAAGGGAAAAGTTAGAGGTGAAATCGAAAAAGTCAGCGCAGACCTGCACGTTTGGGTTTCATGTGCTCAGGCCTACGACCGTTTTTCGGGTCTTACAGAAAGAAAATAGTTCCACTGGCCCATTAAAAGGTTTTCGGTCGTCCCATAACTTCCAGAGCGCTGACATGTCAAAGCCCCGCTCTGTTTGGTGGGGTTTTAAATGAGCCGTGTTGTGACTGGGAGGTAAATGTCAGCGTTTTGAGCCGGAAACCTTCACCACAAGAATGTGACCGCGGGAAGTCGAGTAAATCAATATGGCAGCCAAGGGAGAGGGGCTGAAAAGGGGGGGGGGGGGGCTGAAAAGAGGGGGGCAGAGTGTGGTGCTGCTGCAGGTGAAAAAGGAAAATTATAGGAAAAGGATGAGAAGTGGGAGAAAAAATAAAAAGAGGATGAGTGGAAGTGGAATCTGAGGTAGAAGATGACAATAGTTTTTTTTCCCTTCTTGACTCCTGGGGGGCAAAAAAAATCAGTTCGGTCCACTGTTTGGCACCAGAATGAAAAATAAGCCACATGTAGCATCTGAATTGTGTTTTTTAAGTTTACAACATCCCAGCCATGGTGTCTAAAAAACTGGGGACAGCATGATTTCATAGTTTGTAAAAAAAAAAATAAAATCACCTTTAGCATCAACAGCTCATGAGCCAGAACACCTAAAACTAAATCTAACGAACCAAAGACAATACCAGAGAAACAAAATCTGGACTGATAAAAACTGGAGCAGGGCCAAAGACAGTGAGAGAGAAGAGTTGATGCTGAAGACAACGGTGAGATACTGCGAGGGATCTGACAAAGAGGGAAAAAAACCAGAGAGCTTAAGAACAGAGGGGAGCGACCACTGAGTGGAGGTTACCCAGGACAAAGAACACGGGTCAAGGAAGTGGAGCTAATGACCAGACTGGAGACACAGAAGGAATCTGAGGGTGATGGACAGGAACAAGTGAGAGAAAACAAACCGAGAACAGAGATAAAAGACAAAGCTCAACTGAGAACAACCTCAGAAACTCGAAAGGCAAAAAAACAAAACCGGAAGTCTGCCAACCTAAATTGCCCAAAAGAACCCAAAGTCTGGAGAATGGGTTTGTGGGTTTTAAAATCTAAAAGCTGTGTTACGATTATGTGTCCTGACCCTTTTTAGTCAGAGAACCTTGAAGAAAGACTACCTGTTTACATGGGTCAGTTATATAATATATATATAGATTTAATGGCTATCACATGATAACCCCACCTGAGGAGAGGCTCAGAGAGAAGAAATGGGGCCAAACAGGAAAAAGCCCTCACCAGACCCCAACTGAAATGTGTGAGAATTTAAAACCTTAAGCATAAGAAAGCGAAAGAACATCTTGGTACCCATTCGCACAGTGAAGAGCCTCTCAGAGTCTATAACTTTCCTTCCACAGAGGAACAGTACTTTATTTTGTTGAATAAATGATTAAAAAAGTGAATTTTCCTTGGATTTGCCGACATTTATGTGGAGTTTCATCCATTAGTAAACCTAAAATGACGAGGCTGCTGAAGAAAAGCTGTCCAGTGTGACTCAGAGATGATGAGCTGGCAAAAGTGATGCACGAAAAACCCGAGAAAAAAAGGAAGAAGGGCGAGTCAGCGGCATGCAGGGTCTTCTGAGATTTGGTGGGCACGGATACCTTAAAAGCATCTTTTTAAAACTTCAAAACTTTACATGCAAAAATGTAATTTCTGCCGTCACTGTTCATGAACAATTCACACATTACCTCTAGTTTATCATCAATATGAAACACACATCCTACAAGTATGTTTACAACACACCTATCAACGATAATTGCCTTGATTTGAGATTTGTTTGAGAAGCAGTTCCTTGCATTGGGAATGTATTCCTCCTTTAAGGCATTTTGGGAGAGCTGAATGTGTGTGCGTGTGTGTATGTGTGTGTGTTTGTGTGTGTGTGCGTAACAGAACATCTGTTTTGGGGCAGCATTTTTTCCCAGCCTTAGATAATGCTTTGTCAAAATGAAGCGCACCCCATTGGTTTACACTCACTCTCACAAAAAAAAAAAAACACTATCCACACATACAGTGTGCGGACATAGCATCTGTCCACCCTTGCATAACTCAATGTATCCATACTGGATACACACACACGCACACACACACACATACACACTATGTGCTCCATAGCTCTCATCTACACTTTAAGTACACCCGGGATCATCTGAGATCCGTCAGATATCGACGTGATAACAAAATCAATTATCAGAGCATCATGTTGAATCAGCACACATTCCCTCACTCCGCACAGAGAGAATGTTAATGAGGATGCAGATCCGGGCTTTCAAAGAGCCAGTTTGGTTCTCGGGTTGCCTCCACTTTGCAGCGCGGGCCCCGGCCGTGGGGCGATACTGCCTCTCAGTGTTTTAAAAAGGAGCTGCAGCCTCCCGACGACGTGGACCAGGTCGGGCGAGGTAACGTCTTAGGGGATCTGCACGATGGACGTGGTCCGAGGTCACAAATCTGCATTTAGAGTGTGTGGCGTTTGTGTGTGGAAGGAAATTAAAGTTTTGGAAACTCTGTGGCGAGTATGTGTGACCAGACACGTTCTCCATTTAATTCTACAACCTTTCCTCCCTGTGTGTTATACAGACCATGTTCCAAAGGATGCTTTGAGGCTGTAATTGTTTAGGCAAATTGTGTCGATTCCATATATAGCTGTGGACTGTGACAGGTGACCTCTTCGTAGGGCAAAACCGGACGGTTATAGATCAGTCCTTTGAACCTGCTGTCTAATCAAATCCTGCACAGAAAACACCATCTGCCTGACCTCCCCGTGCACACGCTGCTGAGGTAATATGATCAGAATTTGCAGGCAGCCGGGTCCTGCCGGAATGGTGATTGCTCCACTCTTCTGCGAAATTCGAAACTTATTAACTCACCAGAATGCAAATGTCTTCGGCATCTTAATCAGTGTTTTGCCAACCTTATCCCTCTCAGCTGATGAGATGATATCAGGAGTCCACATGTGCACCACTGCATCATTTTTGAATAATTGAATCCACTAGAGGACAGCGTTTAATCTAATGTTTTAATTACTTTTCCAGTAGTTTGCTTTGATAATGTCATTCTTATCTTTGTTAAAACACTGTACAGGTTACTTGAGACTTTTCGTACAGTTGCTCTTGTCTTCTTTTAGTTTGATTATTAATTTAAAAATACATGAAAAATTCCCCTTTGCATAAAGAAAAGTAGATGAAAGTAGTTGAGACTAACTGGTTGCCTTCCCAGGACAAAGTGTGAACTGTGCAGGTAGAGCTCTTCAGAGTTGTCAGACTGTCTCCGAGAGACGGAGAGTCCTTTTCTAAAAGCTGTCAGCCACTCTTTTCATGTCAGCACAGCCTTTCTGATAAATGAGAACAGCGTGAAGGGTAAATTCACCTTCAACTCCTCCCTCAGGATGAACTTTTTTATCCAGGGAGACAAAAAGGAGAGAAGCCAGTCAACAGAGCAGCTGCTGTCTCACCCTGTCGAGCACGCTGAGGGACCCCACAATGTCAGAAATCTAAAAGAAATTTATTCTGCCGAGCCTGTCCTCCAAATCTATTAACATTTCCATTCGTGTATTCGGGCTATGACTTCGACTGATTTAACTGGACATTGAATTGAACCTGGACACAGGCTAGGCAGTAGCCTTCTTTATCATTGGGAAACTGCTGTATCACAATAACACTTGCAATTAGTATTAGAAATTTGTATTTTAATAATTATTATTTTAAGATAGCTTATAATGGAGCCGACATGTGAATGGAACGTTTTATTCTATTTTATTATTTTGAAAATAATAATAATAATAATATTTTCTAGTCCTAGTACTAGTAGTAATATAATATAGTATAATATAATATAATATAATATAATATAATAATAATATAATAATATAATATAATATAATATAATATAATATAATATAATATAATAT